ACCGCGCACCGACCGGGATCCGCCCCGAACCGCCACCGGGATCGGAACCGGGACCTCGTGTTTGGGGGGGGGGGCACAGAAACGGGGGGCAAAGAGGGGGGACACGGCCGGTGTGGGGTCGGAACCGACGGTATGGGGACGGCACGGCTCGTATGGGGTCGACACGGGCGGTATGGGAACGGAACCGGGGCAAGGCACGGCCGGTATGGGGACGGAACCGATGGTGTGGGGTTGAGACGGCCCGTATGGGGTCGGAACCGACGGTATGGGGACGAAACCGCCCGTATGGGGTCGGAATGGACGGTATGGGGTCGGCACCGCCCGTATGGGGACGGAACCGACGGTATGGGGTCGGCACGGCTGGAATGAGAACGGAACCGATGGCGTGGGGTCGAGACAGCCCGTATGGGGTCGGAACCGATGGTATGGGGTCGGCACGGCCGTATGGGATCGGAACCGCCTGTATGGGACGGAACCGATGGTATGGGGTCGGCACGGCCCATATGGGGTCGGAACCACTCGTATGGGACGGTCGGCACGGCTCGTATGGGGTCGACACGGCGGGAATGGGAACGGAACCGATGGTGTGGGGTCGAGACGGCTCGTATGGGGTCGGAACCGCCCATATGGGGTCGGAACCGACGGTATGGGGTCGGCACGGCCGTATGGGGTCGGAACCACTCGTATGGGACGGAACCGACGGTATGGGGTCGGCACGGCCCATATGGGGTCGGAACGGACGGTGTGGGGTCAGAACCGACGGTATGGGGTCGGAACCGACGGTATGGGGTCGGAACCGCCCATATGGGGTCGGAACCGACGGTATGGGGATGAAACCGACGGTATGGGGACGGCACGGCCCATATGGGGTCGGAACCGACGGTATGGGGACGGCACGGCCCATATGGGAACGGAACCGACGGTATGGGGACGGCACGGCCGGTATGGGAACGGAACCGGCGCAAGGCACGGCCGGTGCGAGGACGGAACCGCCGGTATGGGGGTCAGAACCTACGGTGTGGGGTCGGCACGGCCGGTATGGGGACGGAACCGCCGGTATGGGGTCGGGACGGTCCGTATAGGGACGGGACTGGGGACAAGGCACGGCCGGTATGGGGACAGCGGGCAGCCACGGGTTGGGGAGGGGGCACGGCCAGCGCAGGGGATGGGATGGGACGGCACCGCTGTAGGGTCGGGGCGGGGGGGATTGTATTTAGGGGGGGGGTGGGAACGGCCAGAACGGGAGCAGGGGG